TCGATAAGCGCCTAATATTTGCCATTCCTGCTCCGAGAAAGAGAAAGAGAAGAAGACAAATAACCGGCTCTCCTGGAATGTGTCCCTGATCCGAACACAAACGTCCTCAGGGTCACGTGACTCATACCGTCCAGATCTGACATGGACGAGTTTAAAACACAGAACACTAATTGATTTATAAAGTGTCAAACAAACTCAAACTACTACTATGATAGTGACATTAAATCAATAAAACAAACCACGACAGTCACATAAGTGGCCTAAGTGGCTTGTGTTACAAGTATATAATGATGAAGGATTTCTGAAATTCAGGAATAAATGACATTTTGAATTTTCATTCGTTGAATGAGCGAAATGACTCGAAAAAAGATCGTCTGGTGTGGTTTAAAACCCTTTGAAGCTGCACTGAAACTCTCATTTGGACCTTGAACCGTTTGGACCCCATTGAAGTCCATTATATTGGAATGTTTTCATCAAAAACCTTAATTTCTTTTCGACTGAAGAAAGAAAGACATGGACGTCTTGGATGACATGCGGTGAGTAAATTATCAGCAAAAGTTTAAGAATTTAAGAATATCTTTAAATCCCAATCCCAATGCATGTTTTTCATCATCTACTGTACATGTATATTAAAATCACCAACAATTAAGACTTTATCTTCAGCCAATACTAACTCTGTTAGTAATTCTTTGATAATATGTTAGCTCTAGCCGTTAGCCAGTAAGGTAAACGTTTCTATGGTAACAGAGAGTTGGACCAATCAGCAGACGTTGCTGCTACGCTTAGGATTGTGGGTAATGTAGGTTTTTTTTCTCAATAAGATTGGGTTTTTCTTTAAACAAGGTAGATTTCATACAAACTTATAGCTTCTACAGGAGCAAAAACCTTAGTTTCACAACCTTATAGCTCGTGGTCAGTCTACCTCGGATGGTAATATAAATACTTATCGAGAAATACTGTTGACCGGAAGTTCTGGATCCGCGTTCCGGAAGCAGGAAGTGTGACATCGGCCCAATGATGAAAATAAAGCACCTTTATTATTAAGACTGTATATTAAACATCACTGAGAGAGCAAAGGTTTGATGTTTAATGTCTGTCAGCTACAGACACATTAAAGTGAAAGTACAAGCTGATGTTTGATCTCCTCAAAGTTAAACTGGTTTAAATAAAGTAAACTAGGCTACCCATGAAGCAAGAGAGCGTTGTTCAGCTCCACCGAGCTTCAGTCATCTGTGTCCTCCCTGAAGTCGCAAAGACCTTTCACCTTAAAAACTGGAAAGAAAGAAAACTCCAGGAACGAATAAATCTCTATTGTTTTGTAACAGGGAATGTTTATTGGATGGATTTGCCTTCCCACATCTTTTCCACGCAAACTTTTGTAAAATCATAATTCGGACATAAATAGTCATATATATGACATACAAATCCAAAATAACAGAATAATTTCACATGTATCTAATAATTTGACTTTTTTATCTAATGATTAGGACTTGATATGTCATAATTTCAGCTTTTTAAACTCATAATTATCATCATTTTGACTTTATGTTGTAATTTTGACTTTTTATGTCATCATTATGATGACTATCATGACATAATGTCATCATTTTGACTTCATATCATAATTCTCTTTATTATGACTTATGTTAGATATTAAATTAGTATATCATCACTTAAGACTTTTAATGAAATGAATGTAAAATTATATCAAGACACATTAATGTCATAATTTTACTTGGTATGTGATAATTTCGACTTTTTTGTGCACTTTATTATTTTTATGACTTAATTAGTATGTCATCCTCAGACATACTAAGTCATACAAATCCAAAATTATCAACTTTATCTAACAATTTCGACTTTTTATCTAATGATTATGACTTGGTATGTCATAATTTCAGCTTTTTAAACTAATTATGACATTAGTATGACATTCTATCATAATTTTGACTTTTTACATCATTATGAAACCTATCATTTCGTCTTGTTTTATCAAAATTATGACTTAGTGTGTCATAATTTCGTCTTTTTGAGCGACAAGTAAGATTTACAATGGCTGTTTTTCATATGTGGTGCAAATATAGACTGTTTGTTTTGATATCATCCATGTAACGTTAGTTCTCCTGGATGGAAACTCCCAGCAGAGACAAAAGGAAAACCAGGATGCAACTGTTCAGATCTAGACAAAAGACTGAACTTTACTTTAGAGCGAGTGTTTATGAGCCCAAAGCAGGCAGTTCTCGCCAATCATATTCTGCCATGTTATGATTATCATCATCACCTATATGTTCGGACTCACCTGTGATTTTCCCCCCGGTGTCTCCGTGTCCTCTTCGGTGCTGCAGTTGGAAATAACCGTTGGATTTGTCCGTAACCCAAAGCTTGAGCGCGTTTTTCAGCACAACTTCTTCAGGAGTGATCCACATCCTCACACACACACACACGGCTTGTGTTGTTGTTTCTTGTACACACTCGCAGGCTCATATTCCGCCCATAACTACAGTTCCTCTTTAAGGCGAATGTTTATTTCCGCTTTTTTCCAGCCTTTCCTGCTCGCGGTTCCGGCGAAGGAAGTTTCATTTCACGAATGTCCTCCTTCACGTATAAATATATCACGAAAAGCTAGTATCTGCTGATCGGTGTGCAGACTGACAGGAATTCTCGACGCTTTTTTTATTGTATTAACTGATAATTAACTTAAATTTCACAAACATACTGTCACTATTACCTGACAGACTTCAGTGAGAATCAAAGCGCGCCGCGGCTCCAATCAGGAAAACTCTCTGCCTGTCAATCATTTGCGCGCTCGCGTTTGCTGACCTGTATCTGAGGGCGGGGCTTTATAGAAAGGGGCGGGGCGATAACGGGACTCTTTTCACAGACTGATGCACAGTCTATGGTTTTAGAGCCGTTCAGAGCCACAAGGACACCCACATGATATCTATCTGGTTTTAACTAAGTGGCAACCTGTCTGTCTCTCTTTACAGCAAAAAAAAAAGTGTTTACAGCCTGGTGCAAAAAGTGTTTTTGGTCTATAGCTATTTTTTCCCTTCATGACAGCTGTGAGAGAGGTGAATTTTTGTGTAATGTTTAAAGGGATGGTTCACTTTGAAATTAATTTTTGGTATGTTTTAGCTTACCTCAAGGGCATCCAAGATGTAGGTGTCTTTGTTTCCGCAGTAGTTTCAGTTTTGTTATTTTTAGGTCAAACCCTTCGTGTCTGTCAGTCATATAATGGAGGTCTATGGTCACCACCTCAAATGTGTACCGTCAATGTGTACTTTCATTTACGAGTCATAGATCATGTTTAATTTGGTCTTCTCTGTGCATGCTCTTTGAGGTGGTGACCATAGACCTGCATTATATGACTGACAGACTGATATCAGTCATATTATGTGTGTGTGCTGATGGACTGATTTGACCTAAAAATATCAAAATTGAAACTACTGCGGAAACAAAGACACCTACATCTTGGACGCCCTTGCGGTAAGATAAAACATACCAAAAATTAATTTCAAAGTGAACTATCTAGTTTATATATATATATATATATAAATATATATAAAATAAAAGTTTGTGTTTACATAAAAATATGTGTGTGTACTGTGTATAGTTATTTTGTAGCCTATATATAAATACCAAATACACACACGCATGTATATAGGGAAAATATTAATATTTATATATAATACAAATTATGTATAAATATACAGTATATACATAATACTTAAATATTTACATGTATATGTGTGTGTTTATATATACAAAATAATTATACACAGAACACACACATTAATATAGATTAACCGTGATTCATCATTGCCTAGCACTAATTACATTATTATCATATTTGAATGCAAATGAACAGAGGGAAACAAGAGAAGTGCCCATTTTATGATTGTATTTATTTATACCAAATTATTTTAAGATTTTTGTTAAAAAAGAATTCAAACATTGAAATGCAACTCCAATTTAAAATGGATTAGCTATATATCTACTTATTATATAATAACAAAACATAACAACAAACATTACAAAATACCTTAAATGAGTATCACAAAAACCCTTTTGCTAATTTTATAAATAGAAATATATCACTACCTAAAATTGTATTATGATTAATGTTTTTTATGGTTGCCTTTGATTATGAGTTCGTTCAAAAAAAATCAAATTTGTTTGGATAAATTGCTTCATTTTGTTTTCTGAAACAATACAATACAGGCTTTTGGGTAATATGCTTTCAGTGAACAAGAGTTTTGGTAGATGACGGTAAAATCTCAATCTCTTTGGATAAACAAAAGTTTACAAACTGAAAGATTAAAAATTAAAAGTATGAACAAGGAAAACATATTCCTATCTCGAAGATATAAAAGCAAAGTAAAGTAAACACATGGATTTACGTACATAAATAGAAGAGAAGTAAATAAATAGAAGTTATAAATAGAAGTTCATAAAGCATAAAAAACAGGTACTTTTGTATTGTGTATAAATCTGGGGGATAAAATTAGCTACAACATATTCAAGAGATAAATGATCAGGATTTTCATAATAAAAGTACCTATTCGATCAAATGAGTGGTTTACTTCAGGAGGACTAAAATAAAGGAACTTAAATCAGCCCAAAACTGATTTATTACAATCTTTTAAAAATTACAGTTCTTACAAAAATGTTATACACAATCAAAAAAGTAAACGCAAGTCTGTCACGCCTGTCACGTGGTTTGATTGACAGCGCTATCTGGACATTAAATGAGCTGCACTACAACGCCATATATGGGCATTCAAAAGCAAGGCGGAAAAAGGTGCAACCCTGATTATCATCCTACATACTTTTGTTCCGCTCGAGATTAAATGTGCGAATCAATCGTCTTGTGCAAAATTATTTCTAAATATGTTTTTAAAGTGACGCTAAAGTATTTATTCTGATTTAACAGACAGGTTTTCTTTATAAAACTGATGAAAAGGAAGATGTTTTCTGCTTTTATATGTTACTGATGCAGCTTGTGTTCGGCCGGAACAGAATGAGGAGCGCTCCTTCTGTTTCCGGCGCTGTGAGAGCAGAGGAGTGATTCACATAGCACAGAGATGCAGGTTTGTGTGATTAAAAACCAAAATATGTGTTTTATTTCACGTTATTTTGGATATTGAATCTCTTGATGGTTTAAAGCAGTGTCTGGAGGTGCTGGTTATGATGATGATAGCTTAGTAAAGATATTTTGACTAGTGCTACCTGTTTTAAACTTACTTCTGTAAACAGAAAAAATGATCTGTATTTTTTAGATTGTGTATATGTTATACATGGGTTGGTATTACACTGTAAAAAATATTTGTACAAAGTTGTAAACAAAAAAACGAGTACGTTTTTATTAGAAAATGCTGTTTCATGTGTTTTACTTTCAATAATTTCACGTTTAATTCAGTGTGTTGCTTGCCTTTTCTAATAACTGTTCGTGAAATTTATTTGTACTTTCAGTGAAAATGATCTAAAATAAAAAATTCGCTGTGATATTGACGATTACATGGAATATCAAGGGTTATTATAAATGTACATGTCGTTTCCCGGCCTGAAAAGGCTATATAAATTAGTAAAATAATGAAATATTTTTGTAAGGAGTATAAATGTTTGTAGTTTTGCTCTGCGCTAACATATTTCATCAATTGTTACCGGTAGTAGACTAAAACTTGAGTGCAGGGTTATTACTTTAAGTGGAAATTATTTATGTAAAAAAAAAAATAAAGCATCATTTCTGATTTTCGCCTAGTTTATATTGATGTTCTGAAATAAAAATGAATAAAAACGAATAAAAATAATTAATGACAAAAAAAAAAAAACGAAATGGAAAAATAAATAAATAATTTGAAATATTAAAAACTATGTGATATAAAATAACACTGAGGGTTTTATTGGAGACACCGATTAAATACATTATTGATTGAAAACCAGTTATTCATATGATAACTGAAGTCATGTGAAGTCTGGAATTGAAGTTGTATTGTTTTGTGCGTATGGTCGATAACACCACGTCTCTGGATGTGTGTTATTGTGAACGCAGGACCCGAACGCAGACACCGAGTGGAATGACATCCTCCGGAGGAAAGGTATTCTGCCTCCTAAAGAAACCCCGAAGGAGGAGGAGGAGGACGAGCAGCTTCATCAGCCTCAGTCTGTCGGTAAGAGGACTTTATACACTTCACTTCACAGTAAATATTGTGTTTGTTCCTCTCGTCTTCAGATAATCGGTTTTGTTTATCCTGAAGCCTGTGTATGTGTAATACATTGACTGTGGTGATTGTGCAATATACTTATTTTCTATTTCTTGCCGCTTTGTTGAGTTGTATGTTGTGTCTTATAAAACGTGTTAATTTTACCACAACGAGTTGCACTTAAGAATTTAGTTGTACAGCTAAGTGCAATGATAAAGGCATTCATTTCAATATGTGCGCTCATATTCTGTTGTTTTGCAGTGAAGACGTATGAGAGCATGACTCTAGAGGAGCTGGAGGAAAATGAAGATGAGTTTAGTGATGAGGATGAACTCGCCATGGAGATGTACAGGTACATATTAAAGAAATCCACCATTATGCATGTTGTAGTCCTGCTATGGCAGAATAATAAAGAACAGTGTTTTTAGGGATGGGCAACGATTAATCGCATCCAAAATAAAAGTTTATGTTTCCATAATATATGTGTGTGGAGTGTGTATAATTAATTTGTATATATAAAAACACACACATGCATGTATATATTTAAGAAATATTTGCATGTATATACTTTATACATAATTTATATTATATAAAATATAAACATTTGATATATTAATAGCACATTTTTCTTAAATATACACATACATGTGTGGGTATTTATATATACAAATTAATTATACACACTACACACACATATATTATGTAAACACAAACTTTTATTTTGGATGCGATTAATCGTTGCCCAGCCCTAGTGTTTTTGCGCAGCAATGCATTGATATTCAAACCTCCACTCAATTTACATGAGTAATAAAAGCCGCCAGTAGGTGGCAGCGAGTCGCTGGTAATGAGTTTGTCATTTAGATTCAACCGATTCATTTAAACGGTTGATTCCATAGATATCCATAATAAAGGCTAGATGTCCATGTGGCGGCCATCTTGCCACAGGCAGCTCGCTCACTCGTAACATTGTGTTTTAATGGTGCATGTACTTTTTAAATAACCATAACTTGCTCAATTTTCTACTGATTTTCAAACGGTTTTGGTTTGTTATAAATATCTGAGATGTAGTTATGACACTGCATACTTATGAATAATATAAGTGTCGATGTGTCACAAGTACTTTTTAATTTTTTCGTTTTAAATTTAAAAGTTTAACAGACTCAATGAGTCCAATAAGCATTTTTAGAATTTCCATCCAGTTTTTTATTTTATTTTTAATGCGATAAACCCAAAATTGACATACAAATAAGTGACTATTGACAACTATTACACTGCTGCTGCTGCACAAACACTATTCTATTCAAGTCATGAGAGTTTATAATTGTGCATTGTCTCTAATTGTGTGTTACTAATTGTGCACGGTCTCTCTCTGACAGACAGAAGAGGCTTGCCGAGTGGAAAGCGAACCAGATAAAGAACGCGTTTGGGGAGTTGAACGAGATCTCGGGTCAGGATTACGTGAAGGAAGTGAACGAAGCTGGAGCCGGAATCTGGGTGGTGCTTCATCTCTACAAACCGGGGTGATTTTACACATCCACCTCTGAACACAGTCATTTATATTAGGGCTGACACACATTCGAAAAAGCGATCGGACCGACCAACACAAGTTTCGGAAACCAAAATAGGGAATCGATTCACTCAAACTATAGTCACATCTATATAGTCTCAAATACGTGTAATTTTAATGACTAAACATTAGGGCTGGGCAAAAAAATCGATTTTTCGATTAATCGTTTTTTAAAATGTGTTCGATTCAAAATCGATTCTCAACGGCCACGAATCGATTTTTTCCATATAAAGGGCTCGCGGACACGGACGGTGCTGCATCTTCTCGTCTCTCTGCACTAATCAAGCGCTGCAGCTGTCGATCACACACGCGTTTAGGAGTTGGGACATGACGGAATATTCACTTAACAATCGGGCCAGCATTGCATCGTAACCTACGATCGTAACTAACGTTTATCATTTTCACGTCTTTTTGTGTTTTACAAGCAATGTTAAACCATCCCGTGCTCGCGCACTCTCAGAGATGTCTTTCACTGCGTGCACAGTAACGTTACAGCCTAAAACTGCCTCACAAACAGCTCGCCAGAAACAAAAGTTTTGTCCTTTGTTAACACTTTAACAGTTAAAACACGCGACATTATGTCAAAATTCTGGTCTTGGTGAGTAACCTCGTAAAGACAGTCGGTAATGTCTTAAATTGGCATTAAACGCGTGTGACAGAAAGTTAATGAAACAGTAATGGATTCGTGCACTAGTTCTTAAAGTGAACGCAGCCATTTGTGTCAGTCATTAATTCTGTTGTCATAACAACAGAATATAGTATTAATTGTAAGCAATCAGAATTAAAAGCCTTTGTATTTAATTCAGTCTGGACTAAAAAGACTATCCAGTGTTATTTTACATTGGATTACTTTATTCAGTTTCTGTAGTATTTCTGACATACCCAAAAAACTCCCCCAAAATGTCTCTTAATTTGTGTCTTTATTCTGTTGTATTTATTTGTGCTACTTTTTTCAATTTAATTCAAAGATTGAAATCAAGCTTCTATACATAAACTCTTAAAACAAAAATAAAAAACAAAAATAAACAAAAAAATTACATTACCATTTAGGTAAGATCAATGTAAAAAAATGTCTAAATATTTATATATTTATTTATCTATATCTATCTTAAACATTAAATAACATGATACTGTTTGATCAAGCTGTGCGACTGTTCTGACTTTTTTTGCATATTGCATCAAAATCCTGTTTATTCTTTGTATGCATTTAGTGTACCTAAAATAAAAAGAGTTTTATATACAGGTTTATGGCTCTTAATTTCTTTGTATTAATTAACCACTAGTAAACTTATGTCCACTGTTCTTTTTTATAAATATAGGATTTATATTACATCTTCATTATAGTCGAATCGAGAATCAAATCAGGAATCGAGAATCGAAATTGAAAATTGAATCGAGAATCGAAATCGAATCGAACTGAGAGCTTGTGAATCGAAATCGAATCGAAATTGAAATGTGAATCGATACCCAGCCCTACTAAACATCCATATCTCTATGATCAGATCTTTCTGAACGTCTGTTTCGCTGGCATTTTCATCATGTGTTTATTCTGTTATTGAGAGGAAAGCGCTGCACAAATTTATTACTCATCTAAACGTGGACGGCGTCTGGATGTTTGTTAACAGTAAAGGAATGTCCAACTTCTTGTCTTTACGACTAAGCAAAGAACAAATAAATAACTTGGCCGTGAGTATATCAGTAGTATACTTCCACACATACACTACCGGTCAAAAGTTTTAGATCAGTAAGATTTTTTATGTTTTTAAATGAAGTCTCTTCTGCTCACCAAGGCTACTTTATTTGATAAAAAAAAATGACAAACAGTAATATTGTGAAATATTATGACAATTTAAAATGACTGTTTTCTATTTTAAAATGTAATTTAAAAGCTGAATTTTCCACATCATTACTGTTGCTGATTGCACATCAGTTTTCAGGGTCACATGATCCTTCAGAAATCATTCTAATATGCTGATTTTATGCTCAAAAAACATAAATTATTATTTTTAATGTTGAAAACAGTCGTGTACCATTTTTCCCTCCAAAATTCTATGATGAATAGAAAGTTCAAAAGAACAGCATTTATTTAAAATATAATCTTTACTGTAACTTTTGATCAATTTAACTCATCCTTGATGAATAAAAGCATTTTCTAATTTCTTTCCCCCAAAAATAAAAAATAAATTCTTACTGACCCCAAACTTTTGAATGGTAGTGATTAATGTTACAA